TAAGAAAAATTGACAACAAAAAAAAAATTGATTATAATGACAATTTTCCTAAACCTCTTTACTTCCTTTTTTAATCAGACTTTTTTCTAAGTCTTTGGTACTTTTGCATTTTTGATTGATTCTTTTCCTTTTCTGATCGGACCTTTTCCTTTTATGATTGACACTTTTTTTGGATGGGAAACCCTGTGTCTTAATTTTTACCTTAACTTGTATCTCTAATTTTTAAGTTATTTTAATGATTCTATTTTTATTCTTTCCCCCCTTTTGATTGACTCTTATACTCTGCCCCCATCCCACCCCTATGATTTTACTTAATTTTTCATTTTTAGATTATATTTAACTTATATTTCTAGCTTTTTGTAATGCGGCCTACTCACGAAATTATGTCTTTACTAGCGGTATGAACCTTAACGCTTTTTCACTCCAATCAACAAATTTGATTATAAGGTTCTGTAGTGATACCAAATTTATTATAATTTTAACTATTTTTTATATTTTGTACCGCAGTATATATATCTTTTACAGAACAAACAATTAATCGTCGTACACAATTAATAATATATATATTTAAAATTCATCATATATTTAATTGCCTTTGAGGCTAATTGTTTCTATTACATCTATTCTCTCCTTTTTTGGGCTCTCGATTTGAAACGGTATAAATTGTTTTCTTATCCGTTTTGGATAACGGCTGCTTGTACTTTCGTTCTCTACCACCGTTTGCTCATTACTGTCGATTTTCATCTTATCATTTATGATGGTGTTTTTGTTTATTGAGTCTTGTATTGGGTCAATGTCTTTGGTCACCAATTCGTGTATAGGATCAATGTCTTTGGTCATTGAGTTTTGTATAGGCTCAATGTCTTTTGCTATCGAATTTTGTATATGATCGTTTGCATCGTTTCTTCTTCTCTTCCCTCCTCTTTATTTTTTAAATCGGAGTTGTCGTACCTATGTTTTAACTGATTAATATGCCTTCTCCTTACCCCTAATTTAGTTTCAACTAAAAACGTCATTGGTCCTGTTCTTTTAACGATGATACCTGGTATCCAATTATCTTTTTTAAAATGTTTTGCATATATTTTTTCATTTATATTAAAAAAACCTGGTAACTGAGGTATATATGGATGAGGATAAATTGGTTTTAATAATTGTAAAGGTCCTATGGGTTGAAATTTAAGCATAATTGAACTTGGTGATTGTTTTGTGGTTATTTGTGGCGTATTTCGATAATTAAACAAAAAATCTTGTATTTTATTATAATCATTATGTTTTTTTAAAAAAATTTTAAAAGTTTGTACTAACCGCTCCGCCTCTCCCTTGGTTCTAGGGTGGTATGGGGCACTATATACATTTTTAATTGATAATTGTTTGCAAAATAAATTAAATTCTCTACTTTGAAATGGGGGGCCATTATCCGTAACAATCGTATTGGGGTAACCGAAAATAGCAAAAAGTCTTAACAACAATTTTCTTACTTCAGTAAAATTATTCGTCGTCATTTTTTGTGTTTCAGGCCATTTACTAAAACTATTATTACTAGATATATATCTCCGTTAATTGGTCCGGCAAAATCTAAATGAATTCTTCCCTATGGTTTATTTACGGAGGGCCATTTCCCTATGAACGTTTTATTGCCAGGATTATTTGTTTGACATAATTCACAATTCTTACCGTGTAATTCGATATTTTCGTTAATATTCGGCCACCAAACGTTCTCTTGTGCCAATAATTTTGTTTTAGTATAACCCTGATGCCCCATATGTAAAAAAGACAAAATATTTACTTGTAATTTTTTTGGAATTATGGTTCTTAATCCCCATAATATACACCCTGCCTCCATCGTGAGTTCATTTCGGCGCTGAAAAACGGTTTTATATTTTCCTCTATTATCTTTGGCCATCCAGTTGTAAGGTAACGTGAAACCTTTGATAATACCGGGTCATTTCTTGTGTGTGCTTTTATATCTAACGCTGAAATAAATTGTGGAGCATCCGATACTATTAAATTAATATCTAACTCTTCCCAAGCAGATGGTTTACCGACAATTGGAAACCGGGAAAGCATATCCGCATTACTATTTTTTTTTGTCCCTCGAAGTTGCAATTCATAATCATAATTTGCTAGTAGTAATGACCATCTTACTAATCTGGATGACATATCTGTTATTCTTTTATATGGATTAAGTAACGATATTAGGGGTTTATGGTCAGTAATGATAATGAAATGTCTGCCAATTAAATATTGTTTAAATTTAATTAATCCAAATATAATTGCTAAAGCCTCACGCTCTATCTTACTCTAATTTCGTTCGGCAGCATTTAATGTTCGAGACGCGTATCCAATCGGTTTTTCCTCGTTGTTAATGATATGAGATATAACTGATCCTATTCCATGTTGAGACGCATCAGCAGCTAGAATTATCGGTTTTTCCGGATTATAATGTGTTAAAATTGGTGCTTCTGATATTAATTTTTTAAATTTATTAATTACAATTGTTTCATTATTTGTCCATTTCCATGGCACATCTTTCCTTAAAAGCCTATATAATGGAGCGGCAATAGTCGAAAAATTGTTTATAAATTTTTGATAATAATTTATTATACCGATAAAAGCTTGTAATTCTTTAACGTTTTTAGGTAACGGTGCGTCTAAAATTGCATTGACATTCTTATTTGTTGTCGTAATTCCCTCTTCGCTAACGGTATGACCTAAGAATTCAATCTTTTCTTTAAAAAAATCACATTTTTTTATATTTAATTTCATACCGTTTATTTCTAACATCTTTAATACATTTATTAAATTTTTCTTATGACTCTCAATTGATTCCCCCGTAATTATTATATTGTCCAAATATACCTCTACTCCAGGTAATCTTTAATAATGAATCCATTGCTTGTTGAAAAATCGCTGGCGCTGAGGCTACCCCAAACGGAAGTCTTGTGAAGCGATACAATCCACTAGGCGTGTTGATTACTAACAGCTTTTTTGCCTCCTCATCTAGCTCTATTTGAAAATACGCTTCGGATAAATCTAATACTGTATATTTACACCCATTACCTAGTGTGGCTAATAATTCATTAATTCTGGGTAAAGGATATTTATCTATCAAAATATTTGCATTAACCGTTTGTCTGAAATCACCGCAAATTCGATCCATCTTTCTTCAATACGGGCACAATTGGAGAAGCTATATTCGAGTATTTTAGTCTTTCTAAAACTCCCATGGATTCCAGTCGTTGTAATTCCGTTTCGAGTTTTGCCTTCCACGCAAATGGTATCGGTCTACTTTTCATACATTGAAACTGAGGGTTGGATTTTACCGCTAAACTGGCCTTAAACCCTCTTAGTAAACCTAATTTTTTAGTAAATAATAAGGAAAATTTATGTACAATATTATTCTCCCAAACCTCATTAACTATTACATTGATTTATTTTTATTAATTTTAATTTGTTTATTAGGTTTCTACCTATCAAATTAATCCCATTGTTTACAATAATAAATTCATGATTAACGGGTAATATACATTTACCTTTAATATTGATCATTACATTATTTTTAAGATTTTAAAATAATATCCGTTTTTGTTACTGGTATTTTTAAACGGTAAACGTCTTCTATATTCAAAATGGAGACTGCCGATCCTGTGTCAATTAAAAATTTAATATAAATTTTATCTATCAATAATTTCACCTCAAATTTTTCTCGAGACTCCTCTGGAAATTCCCAATCCTCAAAACTTTCTCGCTCATTTTCTGGAACATCTATCGTTCGAATATATTCTTTCTTCCCACGATTCCTTCTGCATACTTTTTGTAAATGTCCTTTTATCCCACAATTATGGCAGATGGCATTCAAATTAGGGCACTTAGGTTTTATGTGATCTCCTAATCCACAACAATAGCAAATAATTTTTGATACTGGTTTGTACTTGTCATACTGCTCCCTTGTTACTGTTTTTGAGATTTTATTTATCTCCTTCCCTGCAGATAATTTTTCATACGACATCATTTCTGTAGTCTCCATTGCGGTCGCGATTTGTATTGCACTTTCCCATGTCAAGTCCTGCGTGTTAATTAATTTCATTAATATTTTTCCATTATTAATTCCTGACACTAATTTGTCCCGCAATACTGTATTATACATATCTTTAAATTCACACGTCTTTGCCTTTATCTTTAATTTATTAATATACTCTACGATGGTTTCATCTTTTTCTTGTTCCATTTTAAAAAAATAATATCTTTCTAACATGAAATTCGTCTTCTTCATATAATAATTTTTTAAAAGTTTAATTATATCATCATATGATATTTCCTCTAATGTCTTTGGCAAACACAAATTAAATAATTTAGAATAAACCTCTAATCCTATTTTCGCTAATAAAAATGATTTTTTGTCTTCTATTTTTGCGATTTTAAATATGAATTCCATCTTTGATAAATAAAATTCCATATTGCACTCCTTTATATTATATTTCTCCATTTGAAACGACTGCGCCATTGTAGTGATACCAAATTTTATTATAATTTTAACTATTTTTTATATTTTGTACCGCAGTATATATATCTTTTACAAAACAAACAATTAATCGTCGTACACAATTAATAATAATATATATTTAAAATTCATCATATATTTAATTGCCTTTGAGGCTAATTGTTTCTATTACAGGTTCTTTTTGCACTTTTTTAAAATCTTGCTTTAGAAAAAATATTGTAATAATTTAAAAAAAAAATAGATATGCCAAATATATTTAATTAATTATATCTTATAGTTTTTGTTAAAGAGCATGATTTATTTACTAATTGATTTCTATGAATTAGAAGTTATATATAAATCAGGTAACTTCTTGTTAATTTTTTAAATAAGTTCTACCTGGATAATTAGCTAAACCAGAATATTAATTCTAAATCTACTTTTTTTTAATGATTTTGCCAAATATTTCTTTAAAACATTTTTAAAATAAATAAAAAATTAACCTTAAAATCTTATAAAGATGGTTACAGGACATATTTGATGTTCCCATGGTAATTCAAATGACAGATGACGAAAAATTTTTTTGGAAAGATTTAACCTTGGAGCAAACTCACACATTAGCCATAGAAAACGCTAAAGATATAATTGCTTGTGGGTTCGAGCTCGATAAAACTTTCATTTTTAGTGATCTTGATTATATTAGGTATAAACTACTAATTTTTACAGTGCCTTTAAATACTACCTTTTTATAAACATTTTATTGTATTACATCAGGAACCTGGAACACAATTGCGTATCTCTTCTGTTCCGGTTCCTTTAAAATCAATAATGCTCCAATGATCGTAAATCTTAATTTCTCGGAACGTGACAAGTTGAAAAAGAAATTAAAATAATATTGCTAGATGTTTTTTTAATATATTTAATTTAATTTATTTATCAAATTAAGTATTGTTACGTTTCTTTTAATTAAAATTATAGGATTGTTTAATAAATATTTATTTTATTATTTCGATACTTTAATTACTATTTTTTTTAAAATAATCAAATGTTAAAGCCAAAGCCGGGCCTTCTATTCCCATATATTGCGTATCCAAAAACTTGTTAATTTTAATCAAATCAAATCGATCTTCGGGCTAGGTGAATCGGATTCCATAGGTAAAATTCAGTTCCCGGCTGTCGAGGCGGCACCATGCTTCACCGGTTCATTCCCTCATATATTCGGTGTTGAAAATGCAAAAACTAAGGAAATGAGGTGTCTCATACCATGCGCCATTGATCAGGTAAAAAAATTTAAGGTCCATAATATAAGAGAATTATAGAATTTTATATATTAAATAATATTGTATTCCTTGTTGGATTACTTTTAAAAGGAACTGTATATCCCAAATTTTTAATGTTTAAAAATAATTCGATATAATTTTATGGGATAAACTACATGTTTCCTGCAAATTTATTTAAATTCAAAACGGGGTTCAAATTTATGCACATTCAAAGTTTGACAAACAAAATATGAACTTTTTAAGATGTAAAAGTTAATTGTTTATTAAACTTTATAATTCGACAAAATGTAAACATTAACATTTTAAATTAATTTGAGTTGTTGTCCTAGCAATCGATTGACGGCAATTTGTTTTTTTTACTGGTGGAGTTACTTTAAACAGCTTTTCATCCGTGAACCATATGAAACTAACTAACTTCTGAGTATTTTTTCGTATAAATTGTTTGGTATGTACCAGAGAAGCAATCTTATTCGCATCGGTTAGATACTGGGCGTTTTTCTTTTTAAACATTTCAGCTACATTTTTTTATGAATAATCTGATGTACTGAAGTTTGCCAAATACCAGTTTCTTGGGATACATGACGAGTTGTTCTGTGAATGTCAAGTCGGTAACAGAATCAAAACTATCCATAGTGCGAGCTGTGTGTGGTCTGCCAACACCATACTGTTTTTCTGCTCATCCAATAACATCAAATTTTGCATCAAGGCTGCTATAGACCAGTTTTTCCTTCAAAAACGTTTTGGCTCTATAATGTTTTTCTTGTCTTAAAATTTTAAATAAACTCAGGTCATCTTTACTGATAACCTTTTTTTAAATCGTCGTCAACTTAAATGTAGAATTTAATAAATTTTTAATGTGGGTAAGTTCGAATTTTGTTGTACAACTTTGTATGTGCATATTAGACCCTGTTGATAGAATTTAATAAAATTTGCAGAAAACATTAATAATATATCTTTCTCTCGATTAAAATTTTATTAAATTATTCTTATAATTGATAAATCTATTACTAAAACAAAAATGGTATCAGTTCAATTGTAACACAGTGTTGAAGGAAATAATTTTAATAAAGTAAATTAAAATTTTACCCCCTTCTTGAAGCGATTGCATCAAAAAATTTTCATGAAATTAAGCTATTCTCTTAAGATTCTTGAAACTGCTACATACCCCATCTATATAATGACCTATGACCTATGAATTTTTAAGAGTCATTAAATATAAATCAACTGTTGAGACGCCATTTTTGTTACCCATATAAGAAAAATTCATTATTAAATAAAACTGATTTTTAAAATTTTCATAAATTTTAAATTTCACTTATTATATAAGAACCATATTTAGATACATTTTAATAAATAATTCATCAGTCTAGTTAGTAATATGTCATCGATCTATTCTTAAATTTTCCCATTTATTTAGCTTTCTTTCATAATTTTACCCTTATTAATTTAAATCAGGACCCCTACTTCCGTATGACCCGTGACGTAGCTCCGAAATTAGGTTACGCCAAGCCCGCTATGATATACTCGTCCTTTATACCTTCCCTCCAAGGGGCTCAGACGAAAATGAGTGCTAGTGAGGAAATGACCTCTATATATTTAACAGATACTCCTAACCAAATCAAGAACAAAGTATTTTTTTCATAAAATATTTAACCTAGTGGCGTCGTTAGTGATGTTATATAGTTTATATTTATTCTATGAGTTTTATATTACATCATCACTTTACAAATTTAAACCCAGCTTAGGACATATATGGTGAATTCCATGACAAATCAACATGATTTCAACCCGACCCACTCAGATTTTTATAAAATTTTTACTTGAGTTTGCATATATTATAAGTTAAGTATAACTAAGAAAAAAATAAAATTTTAGCCTCCAACTCCAAACAGCGTCTGAGATACGAGCCTCTAAAGGTCGAAAGAGTGTGGCATTTTGGGCAAAATTCGCTCCCTTTAATTTAAATATCTTTGGATATATAGCTAGAAGCGTCATTTAAATATTTTTATATAGCCTAATGGTACACCTTTAAATTTATATAATGTTAATCATTGTTAAATTTTTAAATATAAGAAACCGGAAATGTCATAAATCAAATCGATATTTTTTTCTCTCAATTTTTTTTATATATAGGTATATAACTATATAATAAATGTGCAAAATCTTAAGTTGGGCCGAGCTCAGGTTTAAAAGATATGGCATTTTAATCATTAGTAAATTGTAAAAATTTGTAATAAATATTTGATAAATTATTAATTGTAATATATTTAAGCTAAAATTTTAAATATTTGATATTTAAATCAGAGGCCTGCAGAGGTACCATTTTCACAGCCCGTTCTGGATTTTTTAATAATGATTTAAAATATTCAGCCCAGTCCGGTTTCTAAAAAAATTATAGGCCTGACCCTGGTATATTTAAATAAATTAAATCACGGCAGGGCCCGTTTACCCGAGTTTAGGGCCGGGCCTGCAGGTCTCTTAGAAGGAGGGTGTGCTATTATTGGTATTTACTTCGTTCTAAAATTCGCACAATTTGGATAAATAAATACGTTTTGAAGGCATAAGAAATGTACTTCCTTGGATAATTAGCCAGAATAAATCATTAACGATAAAATTTGCATTGTCTGACATAAAAAATTAAGAAATATTTTCAGAAGGCAATTTTAATATTAATGATGAATGTGAAATCATTAAGCAATTGAAAAACAAGTTGGAAACAACTCATTCTCGAAATGAAAAAATTCAGACATTGGCGGTTTACCAAATTCTTGGACTTTCAAAACAAGAATAATTTTCTACGACTGAATCTATGGCAAGGATAGAAAAATAATTGGTCAAGGGAAAGGGAGTTATATTCTATCCAAATATAATAAAGGTTGTAAGTAATTTTCAAGATTATTTATAGATATTATTCGAAAATTTCTTAATTCATATTAAAAGAGTTGTATGATGCCTGGTAAAATAAAAACCGTTTTTCATCAATAAAGGTTAAAAGAGAAAATCAATTAAAGGAAATACTAATTTAATTCTAATTTTTAGGAAACTCATATAGATATAAAAGTGAGCTTTAATAAATTTACAGATTTAAGACCAATTATTTTTTTCTTAACTAAAATGATTAGTTTTCCAGTGATGTGAACCCGGACCCTGAACCCTCGTATTTTGGTTGTACTTGAACCCTGACCCTTTTTAAAAGAGGAGGGTCCAAGGGTTCTAGGTGTCATAAAAAATAATATAATTTTTTAAAATTTTATTAACTTTTTTTGTGGAATCATTTATTTTATCTATACTTTTCTTTCAATTTTCTTCCTGGACTTCCATTTACTTTAAAACTCGATGTTGCAAAATATTTAAGAACTCCCACAATTGTAAGAATAATAAAATCAATGAAAAGGTCAATGGTAATATTAGATTGCACAACACGTTGATCCTAAATTTATATGATGCTAGAACGATTATTAAGTCTGAAAAATTTCTGTAATGATTTTATTATTGGAGCATGTGCATTTTGTCGGAAGATAATTGTTGCCAAATAAAGGACCTTATTAGTTCTTAAAAATAACAACATTAAGATTACAATCAGAACAATTATGTTTATATGATTTTTATGGCCTATGGATTAGATGCCGATTAGATTTAGATAGATTTACTAATCCTTTTGCATACAAAATATTAGAAAACATGAAAATTCTAGAGCAACAATATTTGCAAAATAGTGTTGTATGCACCTCTATATATTAAGACTCTCGATATCAAGTTTTATTTATTAAGTATTGAGCAAAAACAGATGGCTAAAACCCGTCTTAAGAATTTATGTCATACGCATAACTCCATTATTTACAACATATTGGAGGCTATGATCTATTAGTTGTAGTGGTAATAATGATAATGATAGCAACATTGATGATCTTGAAATTTTACTTTTAGATAGAGGAAAAATATCAAATAATCATCAAATAGAAAGGAGGATCAAAAAATTCCTATTAAATCTTTAATAGAAAATTTCTCAGTGTTAAGAGAATAAATAAGGATACAAATATTTTAAAATTCTAGGAAGAAAATTCTTCAATATATCCAGAATTATATATATCTTGTCTAGAATCGGCATGGCTATACCGGCGACACAAGTACAATAATTTATGTGTTATAGGGATAACTATCTATTTTAGGTCAGCGTAGAATGTGGATTCTCATCTTTGAAATATATATTGTCTAATTTACGTGGAAATCTCAAGGATGATATTTTAGGATATTATGATTGTGCATAAAACATTTAAAATATAAATTATTTCATTTTTAAATATTTGTAAATTATGTATGTGTATATATTGAAGTATAATAATAAATGGATAAAAAAAAGGCCTTATTTTGAGTCATTTTTTTATGAACCCGTACCTTAAACCCGGACCCCTTTTTAAATTTTATTACTGTACCCGGACCTGGACCCTTTTTTTTGTCGAAGGGTTCACATCCCTGTAGTTTTCTTAAAATCAAAATTTAAAAATTTATCATAAATGCATTTTTTTCTGTTGTAGTAATTGATATATGAATAAAATTCATAATCTAAGCCATCATGAACTTTAATTTCAAAGTGAAGTGATATTTTTCGTAATAGCCCATGGCAAACATTACCAAAAGGTTGAAAGCTACCTTCAGCATCCATATAAGTATCAAATATTAAACACCTTAGATTAATTTAATTTTTATAAAAATAAATATTATTGGAAAAATATCTTGGGCAAACCCGGTCTCGGAATACAAAACTTTCATTCTTTTATGCTACTTAAGGAAAATGTGGAAATTATTGAATTTATAATATATAAAAATTAAATTTTGTCTTAGTAAATTACGATCAAAAATTAATTGTGTTTAGTTATTTTATGAGGAGAAAATCCCCCCCTCTCCCAAAAAAAATCCAGATCATAAATAATTATTCTTTTAAATATTAAACATAAAATATTTGAGAGCTTTTGACTTATAATGTTTAATATCAATTTGTTAAGAATATTTGCAATAAACTAATGATTACAATGCCATATTGCTCATTTATTCATTATTTCTATATCTATGCAAAAACAAATTTTAGAGAAAAAAAAATACTTCGGTTTTTTATTTCCGGTTATTGACATTATAATTTTTAAACAATATTTAATATTATATAACTTTAAAGGCCTACCATAGGTCTATATAAAGAAATTTAAATAACGCTTTTAGCTCAATTATATCCGATATTTAAAATTAAAGTGAGAGTTATTTGCCCAAAAAGCTCTATTTCGACCTTTAGAGGCCCGTATCTCAGCCGCTTTTTAAGGTTAAAATTTTTTTCTTAGTTATAATCTATTCAAACTCTAGCTACAAAAATCTGAGATAGTCGGGTTGAAAATCGTGTTTTTTTTGTTGATTTGTTATGGAATCACACACCATTATAACGTTTATGATGTCAAATTTAAAAAAAAATTATAGTTGTATTTTTTAAAAAAAAATTTTGTTAATCACAATTTGCTTGATAGATCACATTCTTAAGTCATATATTTTATTTTGACGTTGCCACACCATATGTATCTTTTGTCATTTTTTACAAAAACGCAAAATTATCTCTTCTCAATATCATTAGTGAGGATTAAAATTGCAAATAATATTGTACGAAATCAATGATATCTACAAATGGTGAAAAAAAATTTCTAAAATAATAATCACCCTCATTCGAATCATACTGTTAAAATATCCGGTATAAATTTTAACAATAATATCGAAAAAAGTATATGCAGCCCTAAATAATCTAAAGGAATTCTAATATAAGCATGGCAGAATTGAAAGTACCATTTCTAATAATAGGTCGTTATAATTAATTATAGTTACTAAGCAAAAAAATGTACTTAAAACAAGCCTCAGATGTTAATTTCTATTTTGAATCCATAATTATCTTAAAAATATAAAGCCATGCCTAAAGTAACACGTTTTCATAATTAGTACTGATAGACAATTAGAGCGTTGTGATAATTTCATTACTAAGATTGAGTATAATAAAAGAGGTGAAAATAAAAAAATATGCAATATAATAATTTTATAATGATAATTTTTATCATTTAATAGATTAATTTGAATAAGATTAAATTATAATGTGTTAGAAAATAATTATGATTCAAAAATGAAAATTTTTGAAAATATATCTTTTCATTATCCTCCTTAAACTAAAATAACGCGAGTTGAATAATGTATTTGGAATGAGATTTAAGGTAGGCAATGTTTCTTTTATGCAAATATTAATTAAATCGTCAAAATTATCAATTTTAACATGTTGTTTTTATGCTGCATTAGTGCAACAGTCATTTTTTAGAGTCCTGAAAGTTTTTATTTATTTTCTAATAAATATGATAGAAATAAATGGTAATGAGTAAAAATTGACCCATAAAATTTTATTCTGTCGCCTGCCTATATACATGTCCTTAATGGGATATTACAAAGTTAACTCAATCCATTCATTAGAAAGCGAAATATAAGTGACGAACCATATAATATTTAAGAATAATTTTAATAACCAATTTAAAGGGGAAAAAAATTTCCCTGAATTATTTAGAGTTTTTATATAAGATTTCTATTTGAATGATCTTTTCTTTAATATTTTTTAAAATTAGGATAGTATTCGATTCATCTATTCATAGATTTAAAAAAATTATGAAAATCGCATTTTATACAATATAAGATCAATAAATTCGCCTTTTCTGGTGGCAAGGACACGATCGAAGAACACCGAGAAAAGGGTGGAGACTGTTCAATTGATATTCCTTATCAATATCTCAAGTTTTTCATGGAAGATGACAAGAAGTTGGAGCAGATTTATCAAGTTACAATTTTTTTTAAATGTTTATTATGACAAGTTCTAACTCATAGTCATTGTTTTTCTGCACTGAACACCATTTTGGGTGGAATCTATTTTTCTTATGAGTAGAGATGCACTTAATTTCGATAATTGATATTGGTATCGGCCTACACTAGAGGTCTGCATTGGGCGGATTTTTGGATAATATGCCCGCCCACTCAATGTTTAAAAAATTTTTTAACCCGCCCGCCTAGCTCGCCCATAGTTTTCAAAAATAATATGCCCGCCCGCCCATTAATCTAAAAATTTTTATCCGCCCGCCCGCCCGTTCATTAGTCTAAAATTTCTTGCCCGCCCGCCCATTAGTCAGAAATTTTTTACCCGCCCGCCCATTATTTATAAAAAAATTTTTACCCAAGCCCGCTATTTTAAGCATTTAATGAAAATAGTTTCAACATTACATCTCTATAAGTTTTATAATTTAGGAAATTACTATATTAAGCTTAAAAAATATTCAATTTAAATCATGGATAATTTATTTTATCAAATAAAATATTTATAAAATATAAATATAAAATAAATATTATAAGTAATATAATGCAAAAATAATAATGAATCCACATTTTCGGGATTCAAACACGTTCTTCTTTGTTCTAAAAACCTTCCGACAATGCTAAATCCTCTTTCAGAAGTAACACCAGTTGCAGGAATTGCTAATATTTTTCTTGCTAATCTTGATAGCTTTGGCAAATCTTTTTCTTGTCGTTTCCACCAAAGTAGGACATCCTTTTGAAGTATATCCTCTTCCTCAATTGAAATTTTTAAATAAAAGTGAACCAATAATAAATTTATAAAAGTAATTTAAATTTATATTAATTGTAATATATGCATCTTAAAATTATGCTAAATTATACTTATCAAAAATGGTTACTTTAAGATTTAAATATTTTGTTATGTCATTATGTACGGTACTATCCTCAGTAACAACCTCATCCTCCCATCTGTTGGGGTTTAATTTTGATGTGGATGCTATTTATTTCAAATATTACATTTAATAAGTAGCTAAACGAATTTATAATTTATTAATACCTTTTAATTGGATTCTCTTTGCTTTTGGGGAAATGGGTAAAATCAAACGTCGATGTTACATTCTTCTATGCAAATCAAATCTAACAAGTTTTCAATAAGTTTTTTTACTTCATTAATTTCTTCCGACGACAACATCCTCATTTGTCGGAACTTTGGTATTAAAAATGTTGAAACTTTATGGAGCATATGAATTTAAAATTTTTAAATTATAAAATTTTTAGCTCTTTTCTTTATTATATCTATTTCTTTTTCGCATTTTGTTTTTCTCTCCATTATATTCATATTTATTTCATTATGCTCATGTAGAAGATTATACCTAATTTTTTTATAAATAAAGAAAAAATGGGCATAAATCCCAAAATATTAATTTTCATACCATATAAGAACGTTCTGTAGTGTATGCCTGCAATCACCCTCAAGCGCATTAGTTGCATCTTTATATGCCAAATAATCTATCAGTGTTTTTAAATCTTCCTTTCCCATAGATCCCATTTTTTCAGTCATATCACGAGATTGTAAGAATAAAAAAATCTCATCATACATTATATAAATGCTTTGTAGCATATTATGCTTTGTATTCCATCTTATATCAATATTTTGTAGTAACGTCTTGCTTAGATATTTTACGTTGCCACTTTGTTTGAAATAAGTCGTCAATGACAAAATATTATTAATCTCGGGAACATTTTCTAAAATAAAAGTTGACTGGAAGGTATTACGAAGTATTGTGTTCAGTATATGTGCTGAACAGTTTAGTCTATTAAACCTAATATTTGAAAAAATAAAAGGAAAATATAGTTCTTTAAATATGAATGTTTTTTCTTTAGGTGTATACAAAATCTCTCAGAAATTATTATAATATCTACCTAATAATTAAATTTTATTTAATAAAAAATATACCCTTCCAAAGCTTTTTTAATATTTGCTCCTTGATCCGTAACAAAGATGAGCTTGGAAAAATATTCTCGGGGAACACCAATTTTTAAAATTTTTTTAATAATTCTTTAAGAATATTTTCTCCCGTCTTTTTTTCATCTTGAAATAAAAAGAATTTTTTTTTCCAATTTCCAATTTTGTATATAATGGATTGATAGAGATATGTAATCGGTTTTGGTATATTCTTCACACCACATATCAGTAGTACATGAGCAAATGGAATTTTTTATCATTTCTACAATTTTAGGAAATAATATTTCCTTAAGATCCTCAGTAACTTTGGATACATTGCGGCTAACTGTTGTAGCACAAGGGATGATCTTATTAACATCCAATTTACCATATGTTGCCCCTAAGTCGGCAAATCTTTGTAAAATATTTATAAATCCAGGTCCTTGAACTGCTTGAAATGGCCTAAAAAAGATAAAAGAATAATTTATTAAATTAAAATACCTAATGTCTCTAACGCAATATTCTACAAAATTCGCTATAGACCAGATTTTATCGTTTTGTTTAATTGAGAATTGTCTTTTTCAAAATATCCAGTTATTTTTTTATTATCTATCAAATCTTCATAATTTGCAGATGAAGAAGAAGGAGATGCCACTTTTGCTATTATATTTAAAGATGGACTCGCAATCATTGCAGCGAATCCAATCTAGCTTTTTGTCATTTTCATCAAAAATAATTTTAAATTGTTTCCACATTGGCGATTTAAGTTTATTATTATTATCTTCATTGTTTTTTATCTTATAAAAATTATTTTTTATAGAATATAAACAAATATAAAAAAGTAAAATAATATTAAAAAAGTAAGGTTACGCCGTTTATAAAATAAAATTAGATTATAACAAAAATAATAAAAGTTCAAATGCAAAAAACAAAAAATAAGATAAAGGAATAACGCAACATTCTCCCTCTTCTGATAATTTCATCGGAGAAAGTTTGTTGTTCTAGAAGTTTTTCCCGTTTCGATTGTATTCGGTTTCTTCTTGGTTAGCGCATAAGTCTCAAATGTTCTCGTAGGTTTGATGAAATCGTTGAACGTTATCGTTAGCTTGATATCCTTATCGTATTTCTCATATTTCATAATTAATCCAGTCGAATATTGGAATTTGGAATAAATCGGAATATATAATTTGGAATAGTTGATCAAATCAAATATATGAATAATATGCACGAATAACATTTTGAATTTCGGAACAATAAAATATGTAATAAGGAATGATAATTTATGGAATAAGGAATAAAATTTTAATCCAGAATAAGGAACGATAAATCATAATTATTATATTATTTTTAAGTTAATCATAGCGTTTTATACTTTTAGCGTTTTATATTTTTAGCGTTTTATATTTTATAAGCGTTTAATTTTTCGTGTTTAATTAATTTTGTTTATTTTCTATGTCCCAGGTTAAAATATGCAAATAATATATTATTCACATTTCCCTCTCTTTAAATAAAATTTTAAATTTCACACCCTAATTTTAATTCAAAAAAAAAAATTCTTCATAAGATGTTTTGAAAATTCACAATTTAAATATATTTTTCTAAAATGAATGTTTTTTTACATAACTTTTTGTCTTCAAAGCTTGTAATTTCAAAAACTTTTTATCATATTAAGTATTACTTATAAGGGTTATTTGAATCAATCATGTGATTTAAAAATTACATTTTAACATATTTAAAATTAAGTTTTATCTTCTTGTTTAGGATTTTTAATATTTTTAATTATATTTAAGAATTCATCTTTAGGTTTATGTTAATTTACAACAATTGGTCATCATTCAAGAAATCAAAAAATATCAATATTATCCATTATGATTTTACATTTTAGTAATTTTAAAAATTTATAACATGCCTTTATCCTGGCATAAAATTTTAATTTATAATACTTCTTACGTGGATTAGAATAATAAGTAACCATCATTGGTCTCACAAAATAGAATTCATAACCTATCGTTCAACTTCCATATCAGTTCTTCCTAGGTTGTCACATTAGGTTAGGTGCTGGCTATTATATTCCAGTCCAACATCCAGAGCCGGGACACCATAAAGAAAGAAGCTTTTTGCATGAAAGAACGTACTAAGGTTTGATTCTTGGTCATCTCAGTAGTTTAGGTAGTCACAATAGATAAGGTAGTCATAACATCACAATAGATAAGGTAGTCATAATAGGTAGTCATCTCCATAGGTTAAGCACAAGGTAGAGTCATAATAGGTAGTCATCTCCATAGGTTAAGCAATCAACACAATAGGTAGTCATATAAATAGAGTCATCTCAATGGATTAAACAATCGTCACAATAGGTAGTCTAAATAGAGTCATCTCAATGGATTAAGCAATCATCACAATAGGTAGTCATATAAATAGAGTCATCTCAATGGATTAAGCAATCGTCATAGATTAGATGGTCATCTCAGCAGATTAGGTAGTCATCTTTTTCTAGTCCACCACCCAAAGGGCACCATGCAAAGAATATGGGTGGTGACGATATGGTGCGAGGTTCGAGTCAGTAAAAATATATTTTATTAACTTTATTGACTAATTTCTTTTTCTTTTCTTAAAGTATTTATACGTTTTTATAAAATATAAATTAGAATATAAACAAATATAAAAAAGTAAAATAATATTAAAAAAGTAAGGTTACGCCGTTTATAAAATAAAATTAGATTATAACAAAAATAATAAAAGTTCAAATGCAAAAAACAAAAAATAAGATAAAGGAATAACGCAACAACATATTATATAAGAAAATAAAAATGAAAATAAAAAGGGCAATATAAAGATAAACAATCATTACTAAAATAAAATAATACAATGGAGTAATTTCACTATTTCCAAAAAAGGAAATTTTAATTTTCAATATCTAAAAAATTATATATTTAAAGAAAAAAGTTTTATTTCATTACCATAAAAGGAGATTTTAATTTGTTTATAGAAAAAAGTTTGTTTTTATTTGTAGAAAAAGTTTTTTTAATTGAAGAAAAAAGTTGATTTATTTTATAAAAAGTTATACCAGAAAAAGGCTTTTTATTTTTTAAGTTTGTAAGAACAATTTTTTTATTAATTAAAATAAAATTTTTTAATTTTTTTAACCCGCCCGCCCACCCATTGTTTAAATTTCTTAGCCCGCCCGCCCACCGGCCCATTGTTAAAAATTTTTTTTAACCCGCCTGCCTTTTCTTAAAAAATTTTTACCCGCCCAGTTTTTATTTCGGATCTCGTGACAATTAAAAAAAATTCGTTTGGGATAGGAGCGGGCCGGACAAATTTTTAAAAATAATTTCGGGCTTGAAAATTATCCACGATCCTATTCATTATTTCTTTTAGTTTTTTGAATGTCATAAATTGATTATAAATGATCAATATATAAAAAAATGATAATATTAATAAATTAATTATGTCCTTGCTTTTTTAAATAAATATTCATCATTATTACTTTTTGGTATCGGTATTAAGTATAGACTGTTATCATGTTAGTATAGACCGATTCTGTGTTAGTATCGGTTTAAGTATCATTGGCTAAAAAGTGATGCCCATCCCTACGTATAAAGCAAAGAGAGCTCAGATTCCTGAGAATTTGAATTATTAAAATATTTATTCATTAAATTAATTTAACCTTAGCCATTTCATATAGACCACTCCTAGCTCACATATGTAAGGTCTTTACCATAGATGATTATGTTAAAAATTTAACCCCCAATGCCTTGTTTATATTATTAGTGAAAATAATAAATCTTTTTTACTCATCTTGCATGTTTTTCCTTTTAATATAGGAAAAAGTTCTAATGATAAAGTAATGTATAAATATTATCAAAATAATTTTAACACCAATTCTTCCTAAAGATGAAACTTATATTGGGTCTGCCTGAAATGATTCAATAAATCTATTGTTGCTATAAAATACAGATATAATCCGATCAAACCAACTTTAAAAAAAAATTAAATTTAATATTTTTTTTAATAAGATATATTATATTAAGCGTATTTTAATTGAACAAATTGTCCTATACATTATATCTTTGAGACTAATTTCCCATTTTACAGGTCATGGATCATTTGTTATGTAAATATTTTTAAATTAGATCACGTGACATTATATCTATGGACAATCTATCGGTCATGGATTATTTATTTTTATCTCTTAATTACATAATATAATCAAATTTAATTATCACACCTCATAAAAAATAAACTAATAAAGAAGTAATCAAACTTTTTTATTATGATTTTAGGTATGTAAAGTTTGAAAGAGTATTGCATCATTTTTAATATTGTATATCAATATTATCGTGAAAATCTAGAAATATTTTATGTAATTTTAATTCTATCACAAAATAGGGGATAAAAATTATGTGACTAAAGGATTTTTCTTATTTTAATTGAATTTAGGCGGGAAATTTATATTGTGATTTTTTTAAAATCATTAATTTAAATCAATTTGATATAATTATGCCAACCCTATTTATTACTAAATGATATTTAACAATTTAACTGTTTCGTGATATCTAAAATAAATTACCCTTCATTATTTATTTCAGGATTATACAATAGGTAAAATGTTATCCGGTGAAATAAAGAAACAATTAATTCAAATCATTCAAGATATTGTTAAAGATCATCAAGAAAAAAGGAGCAAAATAACAGATGAAATGGTTAAAGCTTATATGACCCCTCGGAAGCTTAAATTTTCTTATTAGTTTATACATTTCCATCCTTTTTTTATAATTTATTTCCTTTTTGTTCAAGCTATGTATAATAATTTGAATTGTTATTTAAATTTTATCATGCCTGGGTATATGCAAGAATTAGCTAAATTTATAAATATAGTCATTATTTATAATCCCAATAAAAAATGATTATTGTATTTAATGTCATAAATGGAATCTATAAGGATTTGGAATCATTCAATTTTAAAGAAAACGATTTTTAAATTTAAAAAAATCTGATTGGCCCATCATTTATATACTTGAGAAATCCAGAATCCGCGCGGATTCCATTCATTACAACTTATTAGAGTGGAATAATATATTTTTTTTAGCTTTTTATACAATTAATATTGAGCTCTATAAATAATATTATAATCTTTTTTACGCATAAAGAGAGCATTAACTTTCTATTTTTTCTAAACTTAATAAAAAGAATAAATATGGCTTATAAAATAATCTATTTATCAATGTTTTAATATCATTTTTAATGTTTAAGGTATTTCGTCATTTGGGTTATATTCGATTAAATTTCTAAAAAAATACAATTTTATTTAGGAGATTTTCGGTTATAATCCTTACAATAACCCTTTATGATTTCTTAGAGTATTAATAAATTGATATCATAAAATGACTTTTAACGATTCAATGTATTCATCCATTTTAATTGAAAAATATTTTTTTGGCGCATAAAAGTTTGTATTTAAAAAATTATATTATAAGTATTACATAAAAATTTTAACACTTATTTTAAAGGACTTATATTAGAATATATAATTCGATGTGAATGTTTTTAAAATAATATAACTGAATGATTTATTTTTCACAATATCCTAAATTCTCTCTTTCTTCATAAACAATTACAATTGTATCTTATTCAATAGAATATTTGTAAAATACCTGCACTTATTTATTGAAATACAGAAAGAAGCAAGAGTGGTGTTGCCAAAATCTTCAAATGAATTAGAGTATACTATTTCAGCATCGATGTACACTATGTAAAAACAAAATAATACCTGGAATGTATGCAAAAAGTGGTATAAAAATAAATTTCTACGAAACTTGTTTTAAAATATATCATTTTAGACGTTAGTAAAATAATTTACATTTTAACATTCGACAATGGAAATTTATTTAATATAAAAAATATTTTTATTTCTGAGTAAATAAGGAGAAAATTTTAAGCATTTCAGAGAAAACTATTATCAATTAGGCCTATAAAAAACCAATCGAATCGAATAATTCTATTATTCATATTTGATTGAAATAATTTGGCTATTTGTATGAATCGAATAATAAAATCGTTTATCAGTAAATATTCAAATAAAGTAACCCATGACCGGTAAAAAAAATTAAAAAATTAGATTTTTTAAAATTTATAAATAGTTTATATTTTTCAAACGAATTGCGAATAGATGTGGATGTGATATATTATAAAATGTTTTACTAAAATAAATTAACCGTCATCAGCATATCAAAATTTACAGAAAATAGCAACCAAACGATTCGCTGAAATGGGTTTGCGATAAAAGTTTCACTAAAATATATTCACTTCAAGGTGTTGGCAGTTAAGGTTTCGTTAAAATAAATTCTAAATATTGTTTTCGTTGTACATGTTTCATGGGATTTTTTGCTTAATATACTCGGCATTACTTAAAATTCTTTCGCGATAACAATTTCGCTGACCTGATAAAATTATTTTTAAAATTACTTCTAAATCATTAGTCGAATAAATATATAATATCAAAGCGTATCTATTAGTTAAAACATTACCAAAATCAGAATTTATACTAATAGTGGTCCTATCATCTTCATCATCATGCATTATTCACAACTACATCTATGACCGTTCAATCAAAATCATTTTTTAATTTAAAATGAGACCTTCTTTTCAGATTATTAAATTTAATTTTCTTATATTTATAAAATGCTTAAAATATTCTTTTTCGTGTACTTAAATAAAAATTTGAAAGTATTCCCTCTTCAATATGAATAAATACAAATTTTTTCGTAAATCCCCAAGTTTAAAGCTTTGATCTTATAAAATTTAATTTATAAATCCCCAAGTTTAAAGATTTGATCATATAAAATTAAACTGTTTTTTAAAAAAATCTGATTTCGATTTTAAAAAATTCCATAATATTAGCTTTTTTAAAAAAAACAATTATTAACACCTTTGTATAATTTGAAATATAATTTATAATAATATAACGTTACTCATTTATATATTGCTATTAATTTCAGAATAAAAATTATCATCAACTAAAAAATGTAATTTGTATTTATGAATAATGACCTCATAAATAACTGTACCTTTTTACCTCAAGGTTAAAAGGGTGATCAATATAAAATCGTTTTTGTAACTGTTGATAATTTATCTAGCTATCAACTTAATATAATTTATGATGTAGCGGCATTCACAGGTTTACACCTTATGTATACAACAAAACAGTTATAATATATGTGATAACTAAACATAACTTTCGTGCTTTTAAATATTATGAGTTAATTAAATTTTGATATCACAGTTATGAATAAAGTTTTAATAATATCAGAGGGTGGGAAATATATGCTATTAATTTTTTAAGAATATTTCCTAATAGATAAAACATAAAAATCAATTATTATTAACGATTATTTAAATGTAATCAGAGTTAACCCTCCTAAGAAAAAGAGTTCGGGGTTGGGAATGAAAAATCTCTGGGTTCAGGGGGTGTTCGGAAAAATTTTAATTTACATAAAATGGATAAACTAATATAAAAAAACGATTGAAGATGATTTTCACAAATGTTTTTAATATTGAAAATAAAAAAAACTGATGTTTTAAATATTGAAAATAAAAAAAACTGATGTTTTAAATATTAATATGTTTTTACATGTTATTTTTGTTAAAGCTGTTCAAATTTTTCATAATTTAAAAAAATGAAATAAAATTTAAAAATTCCTGAACCCTACATTTAAAAAGTGTTTTGGATCAATAAAATGTCAGGATTCGGGTTCACGGCTCTGAGATAAATAATGAAAAAATAAATTTTTAACAATAATTTATTTCCCATTTACCCATCTACCAAACAGAATAAGGCCATTTAAATATAATAATAAAGCACCTTTGGTTTGGTATAAGAAATTTATGCTTCCAAAAATTGGCTCACTTACCTAGCAACACAGTTTGTTTTCATTTTGTTTATAATTCGGTTATTTATTTGTGATACTCAAAATTGATTGGAAAATTAAATGTGATAGTTAGGCGCTAAATATAAGCGCAAAGCAGATATTACATTTTTCATTCTAACATGGTATACCCTTTTGGTAGTTTTTTTTAAATATTTTGCTAATATCTTTTATTCGTTATAATACTGTCTACCAAACGAATAAAAATGGATGTAATATCCGAATGCATTCCGTCGCTTTTTAATCGTAAGGTTGGCAAAAATTTTGTTACTAATAATTTTTTTCTTCAACTGACTAGTATAGGACAAAGCACTCAGAGTCACTACAAGCACGAAACATTGGTATAGATTTTAGAATTAGTTATTCCAATTGTTCAGCCAACTTTAACGGAGTTGATATAAGGATATTATATATTATACATTTAAAAAGCAAAATAAAAACAACCACGATAATTAATAATATCTAATCTGATTTTTTTTCATGCTAGTAATGGGGGTACCTTTTACACCCTCCTCCCTTTTTTAGATAAATCTTGGCGATGCCACTGTGTCCATGTTCAATTTTCGAAAATTTAACTCGATTTTATATCTATTAAATAAATTGAAAGAACAAATAATTATAAAAATCGCAAGAGAAATAAGATTCAAAAATAATTTCAATCGAAAAAAAGAAACCTCCAATGTAATTAATTTTTTCAAAAGCTTGACTCAATTTACGCTTAAAGGGTGAAGTTATAGTTTTCATTATTTTGATAACTCGGTTTCTTTTTTAGGGGTTCTCAAAGCGGTTGAGGAATTAAAAGACACTAAATATTAGAAATATTTAATTTTATATTTTTTATTCTAACAAGATGCAAATTTTTTTTTTTTACCTTACCAATAACATTCTTTTAAAATTCCACCCAGTGTTGTTAAATGGCTCGTTTTGAGCCGATTTTTTAAAACGGCTAACTCAATATTTTAGCCAGAAAAATATTGCCTAAGCCTCGAGATTTCGTTAATGTATGTCTAGACCTTTGTTCCTTCTATGAGCAAAATCTTCAGGTTTGCGTGGTATTTTTTTAGATGAAATATTGAGTTAGCCGTTTTTAAAAATCGGCTCAAAACGAGCCGTTTAACAACACTAATTCCACCTGTTAAAGGGTAAGAAATTGGAGAACCTCTATCACACATCAGCAAGGATATTGTATGGAAAAATTGACTGGCAACAATATTTGGAGCAAGATGGCATCGGAAATAAAAGGTAAATATTTTGTAAAACTAAAGGAGTCAAGGCGATGAAGAAAGAGATCTGGGATGGTAGAATGAGAAGGTTAAATTGTGTCAACGAGAAGAAATGACTGTACAAGGTACGGTAAGTTTATTAAGACCCTAACGTCAGAAAAGTTTAGCAGGGTGTAAAAGGGTAAGAGTAGTAAATGGCAAAGAACAGAGATTATATGGCTAAAAAATTGAACTTAAAGGGGGGGGGATAAAGTTTGTACAAATAAGCTAAAAGTAGGAATATAAAATCCCTGGCAGCGTTAAAAAGAAAGATAACATAAGTGAATATCAACAGCAAGAGGTGATCGAAAGGTGGCGACGGTTCGAAACGTTTAAAATCTAAGAGATAGTTAGTTCCATTTCCAAGGTTCCCCAACATGATCAGCTGTTTTATGGCCAACGAAGTATAATCCAAAAGCTAGAGAAGGGTGAAGTTATTGGTTGAAGCATGGTTAGGAGCAGGAATAGAAGCCTTTCCATGATTGTTTAATAAAATCATGATGGAAGGCAAGATTTTAGCTGATTGGAGGGAAAGCATTATCAATCTCATCTACAATTGTAAAGATGATCCACCAAGAATGATTGATTTATAAGGGGATAAAGTTGATAAGCCATACTTGGAAGATTTTTGGAAAAATCGTTGCAATTAGACTATGGGATGAAGTGCCAGTATCCGAAATTCGGTTTTGTACAAGGCTGTTTAACCATTGATCTAATATTTTCCCTAAGAACACTGATAGAAAAATTTGTAGAGATAAGAAAGGAGCTGCATATAGTGTTTATTTACCTGGAAAAGGTTTACTATACCATGTCCAGAAATCTGATATGGCAGTGTATGCGCAAAAGAGGAATCTCGGAGAGTTATCTGCAACTCATTAGATGTATGTGCGAGTATTCCGCTTCAATGATAAGAAACGGCTTTTGGCCAGGACATTTTCATAGAAGTTGGGCTACATCTAGGGCCAGCGTTAAGCTCCTTTCTCTTCGTACTCATCCTCGTTAGA